TTTTAATTATTCATCTCCCCAAGGCCGAGGGGGCCACTAGAGTTAAGGAGGCTACTCATTTTTTTTAATTTTTTTTTATTTTTTTGTTGTAAATTGTGGTACAACCCTCTCTCAACTCTTTAACTCTGAAACACAAACTTTGACAAGCAAGGCCGCTGCGCGGAGAAATTAAGTTGAGCGCGGTACTTCCAGGGACATGGTGGGAGTCAAACTCCGAACCTCTCGCTTACAAAGCGAGCGCTCTTACCACTACACCATTACCGCAAAAGATATGGATTTTAATAAATCTTAAATAAAATTATTATAGGTTTTCATTTTAAAAACTGTTCTTTTGAATAATAAATTATTTTAATTTTTGAGCTCAGTGGTAAACCAGTGGTTAATTAATGAGTTGGATTGTAGAGGTATTTATACAACACATATATTTTAGAGTAATTGCATTTGATTTTTTTTAATATATTGCTTTACATAAGGTAGATTTTATTTGTTTTTGCTCTTTTAAATACTCTAATAAAATTGTTTTATAGATAAGAAACAAAATAAGATTGAGCATTGTTTTTGTTTTTATTACCAAATAATATCTTTGCTATTAGGATTGCAGGTTTTTGTTGAACATTATTATTTATTGATCTTTTTTTAGATTGTTTTCACAACTTAACAATATTATTTTTTAATATTCTTATTTAATTTCTTTTCTTCTTTTTTTTCCTTCATAAAAGTTACTTTTTTTATTATTATGTTCAGTTAAAATAGTAGTAGTTTTATAGAAAAGATCAAAAAACTAAAGATTATTTGTTACTACAGTAGTAATACTACTGTTTAAAATGTTTATTGATAATAGTGAAATTGAAATGAATGATATTAGGCTTGAAGAAGTTATTAGAAGAAATATTAATAGGCAACTTAAAAATAATTGATGCTGGAGTGGAAAAAGTAGAACTAGGAAAGCTGAAATTAATTGTTGCCAAAATGTAAGAAATGCTGCTTAGGCAATGTTGAATGTAAGAAATGTGGTTAGAAAATAATCATCACATAAATTAAAGAGAGCCTTGGCTAGATGAGATTAATCATCTACGAAATATACGAACTGCTACTAGACAAGAAAAAATGCATTATATAACAAAAAGTGATACTATACTAGATTACAATTATTTAGGAAAAATGAACCAGATCTGTCAGCATTGTAGTGCTAAAAAAATTCTTGAAAAAACACATTTTTTTATGTAGCCATAATGGAAAGGTAATTTTGCTTTTATTTTTACTATTTCAGCTTTAAAAGATTTATTTACAGGAAGTTATATCATTATTCCAATATGAATTTTGCTAAATATATTAGAATTTTTAATGCCTATTTTTATTTTGCTTTATTCACTAATGTGGTTTAACCTATGAATCATAGGCCGCCATGTTTCAGAATATGTATTCATGCTTTTTATTGTGTATGTAATGTTAGGCCAGATCAAGATAATCCCCATACATATTAGCAACTGTATATCTATAACCCACTTGCCACAGTAAATTTTAGAAAGCAACAACATAGCAATCAACTTTGTTTACATGATTTAATGTTTTATTTGCAAACTATAATTTGTGAAGTTGCAGTTGTATTTGTTGAAAATGGCACTAAGCTAGCTTCATGATCATAGATGAGAATTTGACTTTATAACCATAGATGAGTATTTGACTTAATGAAAATCCCGGAAATTTTTTTTCTATGATAATCCCGGAAAATCCCGGAAAATTATTTTATTAAAAATTTATCGAATTTAACTGACAAACAGAATTTAGATATTTTCAAAAGGAATTTAGATTATTTAAAAAAAGGAATTTCTAATATATGAAAAAGCTTGAATGAATTAAAAAGCAAAAAAAAAAAAAAGAAAAAAATTGTTACAAAAATTGATCTCGTGAGAATTTTAATTATAGAAAACATATTTGTTTAAATGCAAAAAATGTTGTACCTAAAATTTTATGTAAAAATATATTAATTTTTTTTCAAATTAATAACAAAAAACATCCGCAAATTTTTGGAAAACTAAAGGTGTTTTAAATGAATTTCCGGAATTCTGGGAATTCCCGTAAAAAAACTCATGTATGATTGATGCACAACCCTGAACATGCAACACTGGTTAGAAATCATGTTAAATTATTTCAGTTTTACAATTACGGACCTTCAGCAAGACAAAACTTCTGTTCAATATTTTATGGCAAGAAACTATTATGCTGCTGATGCATATGTTAAAACTAAAGAGGAGCAGTGTCTTGCTTTCATAGAAATAAACAAAGCAAACTGAGAAGCATGCAGTATGATGCCTTACATGAAGATGTAAACAACCTTGATAACAATCATAATGTTAGAGCAGGATGTGTTATAGTTTTCTATTTGCTTTAAAAGTCTTAAAAAAAACTTGAAGATGCTATGGCTATAATTAAAAAATATGGTAAATCAGATCTTTTTATTACTTGCTTGTCTGCAACCCAATATAGTGGTGAGACATAACCCAATACAGTGGTGTGACAAAAATACACAAATTTATTTTCAAATGATGTTAATTAATAGTTTATGATAAGTATGTTTACATGTGCAACAAAATAAACGTTAACAGTTTATAAAATATTTTACATTTATATTATAATATGTTTAAAGATATATGTTTGTATTCTGTTTTTTCTATGTTTAAAAAGCGGGATTACTTAGCAGTGTGTAGAGCAAGAATATTATCCTTGCCAGTCAAGTGAAGTTTCTAAGTTATGGTATTACTTGGCACCATTTAGTGGCAGGTGGTCTCAATTTCTGTTAAATAATTTTACTTAAGAACTGAGAATTTTTACTTTACTTTTTACCTTGGAACTAAGACTAAATATCAATCTTACTATAATTATTATCAAAATATAAATATTAGAATTTGTTAAGCTACATATCTTTTTTTTTTTTAAAGTTACCAACTATAACATCTTGGATCTATCAGATAGGTTCTATTTTTTATATTTTAATTAAATTTCAACTTTACTTGTTATTATACTATACTTTTTGTCTCTCATTACTTTCAAATATTCTACGATATCACGAATGATAAGTTTAAGATTATTATAGCAACTTTTTTATTTTAGTTTTTATGACTGTAATTACTATATTACTGTTGAAACATGGGTTTAATTTAGTAAATTTATATAATACGAAAATTATTGTGTTAATTATTACTCAACAGTTATGAAGAAACTATTGAGATAAAAATAACATTGTTTAGCGATTACAATAAAAAGCCTTTTTTTTTAATTGCTATAGCTATTTTGTGCTAACATATTGTTTTTATTGTTGTCATTAAAAAATAATAACTTAAGTTATGATCATAATACTATATTTATACTTTTTTTTTAACAGTTTGAAACACAGTCTGCCTCCTCTCTCTCTTTTTAATTAAGGTTTATTAATAAAGGGGAGCATTATAGGAACATTCTATTATTACTAAACTCTTGTATATTTTTTGATACTATAATTAATGACCATGTTTAAGAAATGTTTTATTTTTTAAATCATGATTTATGAATCCCAGTTGTTCTACATTTTTCAAAAAATATTTAAATTTTTTAAAAATATCAATAAATAATAATTGTCCAATGATTGGTCAAAATTGATTATAATGATCAAAATTTAATCTACTCAATATAGTTACTATTGTGTAGAACTAGGGTGTTGAGCTAGCTAAAATATGACTTTCATTGTGTGTGCTACCAGGTTGTTATATAAGCTATGTATTTTTATTTTTTTTTATTCCTAAAACACAATGATAAATTAACATTAATAATGCTTTTGTAGTTTAAGATGATTTTTTTTTTGGTATTGTCAGTTGCACTTAGCTTTTCTTCTCTGGTGCTTGCTGTTATAAAAAAGAATTTAAAATATAGTTTTTATGTAACAACATATTTACTTATGTTATGTGGCAGCTAAATGCCAAGATAAACAAAAGCAAGCAGAACTATAAGGATTATATTATATATAGATAGGGCTACTGTTGTCCTGTTTTTGCGGAGGAGAGCACAATCCTAAACTAATTAAAGCTTTTATAGCGTTCTCGTGCAGAAAAACTGGGAGAGTGGCAACCTTATACATAAAGGAATTTGTATTTTATTATATTTTTTAGATAATACATACAAAAGTTAAATTGCTAATAGTGATTTATTATTATTATTTTAGTTATTTTATCTGGAATTTGAACAAAACGTTTGTTTTGCCAAATTTTTTTTTGAACAATTTTATTGAGAATCTTAATAATACAATTTTTATTTTATTTTAAAATAATAAAAATAAAAACAAAGTCTTTGTTTATATTTTAATTATTTTGTATATTATTTATATACAATTTTTCTTATTATTTTTTTATGCCTTTTCTTTTTTTAAATTTTTTTATCTAGAATTTAAATACAGCGTTTGTTTTGCCAGGTTTTTTAAAATTATTTCATCCAGTATTTATTTAAAGTATTTTTGTTTGCAGTTTTTATTTTAATTTAAATAGCAAAAAAGAGATAAATTTTTTAAATTGCGCAGGCTATCCTAAAAATGACCATCCGGCCAGAGCTTTTTAGTACACTGGCATTAAATTTCAAACATAGAAGACTGAGTGTCAACGATTTTCATATTTTAAAAATATTACTTTAAATATAATAATTATGTTTATAAAATTTACTTTAAATATAATATGTTTGATACTCTGTTTGACTTAAAAAAACTTTTGTAATAAAAGTAATTATTTAATTTAGTTTGTATTTATATAACAGTATTATAAAATATTACATACTTAATTAAACCTATATTTATATTACTCAAATCTATTTTTGGCTAACCTTAATTAAAATAATTTATGAAATCAATTTAAAATTTAAAAAGCATAGGAAAAAGCAACAAAAAAAACAACAACAAACAAGATGATAATAATAAATATTTAATTAATACGAAAATAATTAAATGATAAAAATAAATATTTAAATGGTTTAAAACTTACTAATTTTCCTAACTCAGAAACATAATAAATCAAATATATTGCTCCAGCTATGAATATGAGCACAATTGTATTTGTTACCAGTCGAATAAGTATTAAATTGCACAATTTTTTTAAAGACAAATCTTGACTATATCTTTCTGAGCCTAACGTTTCCTAAAAAAACTATACCATTTTAATCTCAAATTTCAAATTCACAAACATTTTATAAAAAATTTTATTAAAACAAATTCGCAAACATTTTATAAAAACTTTTATTAAAACAAATTCGCAAACATTTTATAAAAACTTTTATTAAAACAAACTTAAAGGTTATAACCATTTAAAAATATTTAAAAATTCAAAAAACAGTGCATAGGACTCCATAACCACAGCACTAGGATTAGTTTTTTTTAAGCATTAAAATGAGAGTTTTGATAAAGAACTTTATGGAGATTCCAAGTCTGCTTAAAAAACTTTATGGAAATTCCAAATCTGCTCAAAAATTAAACAAAAGAATGTCTTGTTGAGATATGTTGTTTTAATTAAAAATATGATAATAAAAACTAAATTTTAAAAAATATAAATTTTTGTAACAACTTTTGTAAACTTAACATGAAATAGATTAAATTATTTAAGAAAATTTCATATTTGATTAAAAAAGTCATTATATTTTTAATTTTTATACTTTATAATGAAAAAGCTTTATAATTCCAATAGCTTAACAAACTTAAATTAAAATTTAAAAGTACTTTTTATTAGATTAATCATAAAATTTATTAAACAGAATTTTGGGAATAAATATTTAAATAATAGAGAAAATAATGTGAACAATGTATGAATGGAGTTTGTAAAAAATGGGAGAAGATTTAAAAAAAAAAGGGGATATATTACTTAACTTCAAATACTTGCTGGTCTCTAATTAAGGGAATTCTTTATTTTTAACTTTACTCTTTAATTTGCAGATATCTTGTGAAAAGTTTTTAACTGAAATTTTGAGTGTTTTTTAACCAGATATGCCAAAATAATCAACTTATAAATAGCTTTAAAAATTTTTGATTCCTACATAACCTCCCCAGAAGCTATGTAGGAATCATGAATGGGCCTTTTGGAAAAATTTTTTTACTGTATTCTCTAAATGATCAAAAACTAATTTTTTATTCACTTTATTCATGCTTTCACAAGTAAAATTCTTTAATTATCTGATTTAAAGTGTTAAACTTTGAACACTACAATATTAGTATTTTGCATAACAAAATGCAAACATTATCCAAGCCTTCCTAGGAAAGGCGTACGGTTTTTTTTTCTTGTACGACCACGAAAACGTTTTTCAAGTTAGAGAACGTGATCACAGCCATTTGCGCAAGATATATGCGTTACTGAAAAATTGTTTTAAATTTAACAACTACATAAGAAATTAAAGTAAACTTAAATAGAAAACAATAGTAATAGTTTAAATAATTTGTGTGTTGTTTTTATTTTCGTTTTTTCTTAGTGGTTATTATTATCGGCAACAAATTTCATAACATCAAACCAAAAAAAACAAAAAAAAACAAAAAAACAAAAACAAAAAAAAAAACAGTTTTAGACGTTAAAAAGGATGACTTTCTCATATTTTATGTGTTTTTTATTTTAAAGAGGAAATAGAAAATATGTATCTTCATCTGTTTGTAAAATATATTTGTACAATTATAATGTAACAAGTTTATATCAAGAGTTGAATTATACAATGGCGTTTGCAAACTCTGGTAAAATATTAGGTCTTTAAATGTTTAGTTCAAGCGAAGCTGTGTACTTTGTTTACAAGGAGCAAATTATTAAAAGTTTGCTAGCAAGAAAATTACAAAACAAAAACAATAAACTTACGACTACAAGTCGTAATAATAAGTAATAACACTTTAGTCACTAACTGCCCTATAAAAGTAATAAAACTATAATAGTGTTATTACATTTATAAAGCACTTATTACTTTTAAAGTTCATTCTTTGCTCAAACAACATTATTAATTCCAAACATTTAAAAACATTAAAGTAGAAAAGCATCAAGAAAAAATAAGGCGGATATTCAAATATTATTAAAAACTTCAGGAACTTTCACATACCACTTAAACAACGTTACTTTATAAAAGTATAGCATTATGAAAGACGTAAAAACGCGCATTAATTTTAAAGTCAAGCAATAAAAAATTGTTATTGGTTATTTTTAAAATTAACGCGCCTTTTTACAGTCCATTAGTAACATTTTTCATAATGCTAAACTTGTAATACGATACGTTTTCATAAAGTTGTTTGTCACGTTTTTATTAGGGATGTACCGAAGCTTCGGCTTCGGTTTGCCGAAGCTTCGGCAAAATTGCAGCTTCGGTACATCCCTAGTTTTTATAAGTTACTTTAGTTTTAATATTATTTGAACATCCACTTTATTCGTCTCTATATTTTTCTACTTCAATTAAAATTTGGGAATACTAATGTTGCTTGAACAAAGAATGAATTTTAAATGTTATAAGTGCGTTATAAAAGTAATAACACTATTACAGTGTTATTATTTTTGTAATGCAGTTAGTGACTAGAGTGTTTTTACTTTTGTAATCGTAAGTTAATTGTTTTATCTTTTATTTTTTTGCTAACAAATTTAAGTTGATTCTCCCCTTTGAATACTAGATATTTTTCCAGATTTTGAGTTTTGCATTCGCTTAATTCAACCCTTGTTGTTACATTAAAATTATACAAATAAGTTTTACAAACACATTGTAATTTGTATTTTTGCTATCCTCTAAAAAAAAATTAAGAAAAGGAAAATCATTCTTTTTATTGTAGACTTCAAACTGTTTTTTTTTTTTGCTTCGTATTATTTAATTTTGTTGCTGAATGTAACTCTAAAGAAACAAAAATAAAAACAGTACACAAATTATTAAATTTGTTTTTATTTTTTTCTATTTCAATCTCTTTTTATTTTGTTAGTTTTGTTTTTTTGTTTTTGAAACTTTTTCTGCATTATTATAAAACTAGCAATCGGCCGTGCTCACGTTTTCTAAAATATTATAATCGCGTGTGGTCATACGAGATGAAATGCTGCACGCCTTTCCTGGGAAGGCTTGATTATCTAATATCCGCCTCAAAAATAATTGAAATACTGATTTTATGTTACATAACAACAACAACAGCTAACTTTTATTTATTTTTAGTAAATCATTTTTACGGTAGTATTAATAATAATAGTAATAGTAATAATAAAAATAATAATAACTAATATAATATAAAGAAAATAATTTATTTATAAAACATAACAAAAAAACATTATAAAATATAAGATAACAAAATTAATACAAATTATATTAATAGTAATAATAAGTATGTTTACAATACTACTAATAAAAAATAATAAAAATAAAAAATATTAATAATAAATTTTATAATGGTAGTATAATATTAATAATAAGCATAATATTATTTATAATAATAAGTCAATGATTCATAAAAATGGTGACACTCATGCAAAAGTCTGATCAAACGAGTGACACTAATTTTTAAATAAAAGTAAACACAAAGACATACATTAAAACACATTGAATATAAACACAAAGAATAAAACACATAAAACATAAATTAAAAATTAACTATGTAGAATTCATAATTTCTATGAAATAAAAAATGTAGAATTCATAATTTCCAAGTTATAATAATAAAAAAATAAACAAGAAAAAAGGTTCTGATAATAATTGCAGTAATAATGGGGTCATTCCATATGAAATTATCCAGACCATGACACCCTTACGACTCAGAATTTGTTCATTTTAACCTCACTTGCAGTCAATATTAAAAGAAAAGATAACTGCAAAAATTTTAAATAAAAATACACATGGGTTTCAGAGATATCATCAGTTAAAATAATGCTGACTCAGCATTTTAGTGATTATCTGAAGCAACTACAAAGTAACTTTGACATATAGTATCTTTATAATGGCTTGGAGAAATTTGGTTCCTTAATAGATTTTTACTTGAGGAATCCAAAAATAGCACCCTAAAGACTCGATTGTCTCAGGAAATGTCTTGTTTATCCAATTTTGTTCAAATTCATAGACTTGTAAATTCAAGATTTTTTGAGATAAAATGAAGACTGTGGCCCAAAATCCTAAGTAAAAAGTTTAATTGTATATCATTATTTTATCTTAAGTATACTTAAAAAAATTAGATTCATCAATTGTCTTTCTAATACTTGATCAAAATTTGCGTTTAAAAAATTGTCTTTTTAGAAAAATTTATATTTTGTAAAGAAAGCAATTGAAATGTTTTTTAAAACATTAATTTGAATAAAACATCAAATAGTGTTATTTATTGACTAGTTTAGAACGTTTATAGTCATGAGCCAAAGGAGGGCTGGGATCTCTGACCAAATATCCTCCCATTTACACCCTCAATCTCCATGGATTTTTTTTTTTAATACTTAAAATGATATAATAATAAATGATTTTTAAAATTCAATTTAAAAGCATAATTTTTCTTTTTTTTTTAGTGTAAGTTTGAGAAACAATTTATTTGCATTACTTCAAATCAATAAATAATTACCCCTTATTTCAAAGTAAGCACACAAAACTAAGATCTTTTCACAATTTTAAAAATCATAAATTTATATTCCTAATATATTGAAATGTTTTTTAAAACATTTTAACAATCAATTTCTTTATGGTATTATTTAGCAGATTAATTCTACGTACAACATGATATTGTTGTGGGTGTAAAAATTAGGCATATAACTTCAGAACTGAGCACTCAACACTCGTCATTTCTCAATAGCCAAAAGAAGTTTTCATCTGGTCCATGTGGAAGCATGAATCTGACTTTTATATCAAACTCATTTACATCTTCAGCAATCCCTGCCACCAAAATCTGTCATAAAAACATGCAATATAATATTTTTTTATTGTTTAATGAAATCTTTTTATGTCTACTTTTTTGGAATGATATTGAATATTTCAATACATGCATCAATACTTGTTTTTTTATAACTTAAAGTGTTTGAAGCAATCGGAATAAAATGATGATCCTAACTTTTTTCTTAGAAAATAATTTAAAACAAATTCTATTTATCTTGGCTTTACAAAAGGAGTAGATTAAATTAATATCTAAAAGTAATTATTTATTTTAGACTTTCTTGACATACTACACAGACTTTCTTGACATACTACACAGGGGGGATTTACCATAACTGGTAGCAAAAAATACCCATTCAGCATTTAAATCTAGGTCTTTGCTGTGATGACCAAGATTGATAAAGTTTTTAAAATTTTAAATTGTGCTGCACAACCATTGGAAAAGTATTTCACACTTGATACATCAGGTAGATTTCTTTGATATATCTAGTTATATCTTCCTGAGTCTTATAAATAAATCCTCTGTCATGATCAACATCTTCTGAAAGGTCACAAAAAGATTTATGTTTGAGAACTTTTTTCTCTATAAAATAAAGTATAATTGCAAAAAGTGAACATTGACTTTTGCTCCAGTGATAACTTTGAACCTCATCCTGAACAACATATTGATAATTTTCAGTAAAATCTCTTAAAATTAGGCATTTGTTTTGGTTGAGATTTTCTTTACAGATTTTCAAGAATCTACTTTGTGTTTTTGCAATATATGAATGAGTGGTAAAGTTGTCAATGCTGTCACATAATAAATCATTAAATTTATCTAGTGGCAATGATTGTAATAGTGTTGTACGATCAGTACTCTGCTATTGCTTGAATGCTACATCTTCCTTGAGCTCATGGTCCATAAACTTCTGCACTAAAAAACTTTTTAATGCTTTAATACCAGGGCATTGGTTACATCTATGAAACATATAATCTGCAATTTCAAGAGAACAAACAACCAATTCCATGAAATCTTGATAACTTTTATTCCACATAATGGCATCAATGAGAAATTTTTCTTTTTTGGTGATATATGCATATACATACATAATGAGTACCTGACACATTAGTTGTAAGGCACCATTTAGGTTTAAGAGTACAAAACTTTAACAAACTGACTTTGAGATTAGGGTAGTCTTTTTTAAATGCAGCATGTAATTCATTAAGATTGAGTAGTAATAATCTTTTTTGAACATATTGGTTTTTCTTAACACGTAGAAAGTCTTTTTTTCCTGGCATCATTCTTGAAAATTCTTTAATAAAGTTAATCACTAAATCAACTGTTTCTGATGGGTTTCCAATTTTTTTTTCGGGCAATAATAGAATTTCATGCTCATTTTTAACTTTTCTTGGAGTTCAAACAAGATACTCAGACATTTTAAAGTAGCTTGATGTCTGTGTCCATTTCAAAGTAGCTTGATGTGTCCATGATTTTGGTATGTGTCCATTATTTTGGTGTGAGTTGCACCTTATGGCGATAAGAGTCAGTCTTTGAATTTTTTTTTTTATTTCATACAACAAAATGTCTAGATCATGGTCATTGTTGATGTTGTTGTTTGAAACAGGGCTTTTTATTTCGGTTGGTAAAAATCTTTAATGTTATATGATAATGAGACCATTTTTGCAACTCTGCCAATAGTGTTCTCAAATTTTTGTTTTGGTTTGCTGCAGGCAATTTGCTGTGTTTTGAAAGACTTTTTAGTTTGACTGGTGAAATTTCAAGCAATTCTATAGTGATATCTAACTTTATCTGTTTCTACTGCTTTTTCATAACATTTACAGCAGAATTTCCATCCTGGGGTTACATAAACGTTATTTTCTTGCAAAAATTTTGCCAAGTCTAGGGAAATCTTTATATTACCTAAGAAACAAATTTAGTTTAAAGTTTTTAAAATAACTGATAATATAAATTTTTTTCTAAATAATAATGATTGTGAATTTTATTGTTTTTGTATTTTTTTGTCAGGTAATATTATAAATAATAAACATGTTTAATATGGAGAAATGTGACATTGGAATAAGTCTTAACATTCATTGCCACAAAACTGGATTTTCTAGAAAACAAGGTTTGTTCAATTCAAAGATCTTCCTTGTGAAAAACAAGAATAAATAATGAGGCGATTAAATTTAAAAGAAAAATATTGTTCAATAAGAATTATATGTTGTTATCATGAGCACAAAATGCTCAATTTTAAGTTGTAGTTTTTTGAACTCATTCAAAATACATAGACAAAAGAATGCTTACCATACTTGCTTACCATATATAAGGTAGTGGTGTAGTGGTAGAGCACTTGCTTACCATATATGAGGTAGTGGTGTAGTGGTAGAGCACGCATCATAAGCGAGAGGTTCCAAGTTCAATCCCCACCACGTCCCTGGTAGTACTGCGCTTAACTCATTTCTCCGCACAGCGGCCTTATTTGTCAAGGTTCGTGTTTCGGAGTTATAGAGTTGAGAGAGGGTTATATAACTACAAATAAGTAGCCTCCTCGTCTGTAGTGGCCTTCTCGGCCTTAAGGAGGTGAATTAACAAAAAAAAAAAAAACTTCCCAGTTTTATAAGATAGAACACTTAGTTTTTTATTTTATATATATATATATATATACATATATATATATATATATATATATATATATATATATATATATATATATATATATATATATATATATATATATATATATATATATATATATATATATATATATATAATAATAAACTAAGTGTAAATACTCTTAAAAAAGTTCACTATAATACTCTCAAACTATAACAATCTCAAAACTATTTCAAATATTATTTATATAAAACAGATGCTAGTCTAGATAATACAAATACAAGATAAAAATACTTATTGTTATGTTTCAAAATCAAAAAAAAAAAAAAATAAAGGTGCATTACTACTTTAATCATATTTAAAAGCAAAAATAAACTTAAAAGGCATTTCTTGTCTGAAAAGTACACCGGTTAATTTTAAAATAGGTTTTGCACGACCTTAATGGAAAATAATAAAAGTTAATACTCATCCAACCAAGTTATTCTGTGTCATCATCATTGTAAAACATAATGAAACTTTTTTTCATAAAAATTTTACATACGAATATAAAATCTAGTGAAAGCAATTGCATCAAGAAATATTATTTTAAGATCGCTAATTGGCTTTGATAATTGTAATTTTCGATTGCTCAACTTGCCCTTTAAATAGTTATGATGTGTATGTACAATAGCTATGATGTGTATGTACTTGTCTTTTCAGGGCCTATTCTGGAAAAAAGTTTGGGCGTCGGTTCCCCCTGGTTCGAGTACAACGAAAAAAATGCTAACATTTGCAAAGGGTTTAATTAGATTGTTGCTATTGTTTTTTTATAATATAATTGTATTTGTAAAAAAATTAAAAAACCAGTATAATAAATAAATAAAAAGTAAAATAAATAATAACCAATAAATCCTGTGCAATACTTTGACACTTCATCTTGGCACCTGATTGATTAGTGATTCCATAATCCCATGAGCAAAATACTTTTGATGAGAACAAACCAGCACTCTCACCACTGAATATATAGTTTTCATTGTACGACTTTGCCATACTTAAAAAAAAAATTGTGTATTACATATTTATAAGTAGTTCATAAGATACAAACTTATTACAATTATTTTTTCTTTACTTTATTTATTTGTATTAATGATTTTAATGCAAACTTTTTAACTCTAACCTAACTGCCATAATAAAAATAACAATAAAAATGTATCCTCCACCAGCAAGTAAATATGCATGTTGCATTTCATAGCCATTTTTAATGGTTTGATTTGTATAGGTACCATAAAACAGTTCTGATTGTGCAAACCACCCCTAAAATAAAAAATTAAAAATGCAATATAAAATTAAAAGTAATTGAATATTTTAAATTTTTACTTGAATCTAAAAAGGTATTTTATATGTAAAATAATAAATTAAGTTAAGGTTATTTTTTAAATATCGGAACAATAAAATAAAAATACTGATGGTAAATAATAGAACAAAAATAGGATGATCAATAAATATGTACATAAAAAACAACATGATCATGCTATTATTATATCAATAATAACAAAAAATTATGAAGTACTGAAATATAAGTGAAGTACTGAAGTATAAGTAAAGTACTAAAGTATAAGTGTAGTACTGAAATATAAGTGAATTACTGAAGTATAAATGGATTAGTAAAAATTGAAGTCACTAGAAGTAATCATAAATTGTTTGTTTTTTGTAAAAAAAATATGCCTTAATTTACATATAGAGATTTTTTCTCATGTTTTTTAAACTTTTTTTAATTTCTTTTTTTCAACATGCTTTCAGTACATAGCCATTTTTTCAAAAAGAATCTTGTTTTTAGAAGAATAATATATAAGAGGAGAAAAATCTCAAACTGCTTATAGAGAGGTGATACATAAGAGAAAAGAAAATGTTTACATATACACATTAGATTATTCTTTAACAAATTGATGTTTTTGAAAAAATTATATTCTTCATTCTACCTTATAAATTTTAAAATAACAGTTTTGTAACAATTTGTTTTTTCCATGAAGATAGCATTAACATAAAACAAGACAGACACATGACATTGACATTAGACAGATATTATAAATGTATATAATAAATTTACTTTTGTAGTCTATGTATATGTAAACTACAATTTTCTTATACACTCCAACTTACGTCTCCAGTTAAAAGCTCCATTCCGGTAAAACTAGTTCTTTGACTTTTTGAGCTTTGCGAAAAAATAATTTGAGGAACAAACAAGAACGAAAGGAGAATGATGCAAACCAAAACATTTAACATAAGTAACCAACGCATCAATATAAAATAAGATACAACGCCTGATCCAAACATACCTGCAAAAAAAAAAAAAAAAATACAGTTAGTAATCAATTAACAAAAAATTATGTCACTAAATAGTAGTTATTATTTTTTTTTTTTTTTTGTTTATTCTTTGAGATTTTTAAAATTGTCATTTTCAAGCAGTTATAAAATTTAATAATATAATGAAAATTATTATAATTAGGGAATTTTCTAATGTTTAAGGGTCTTGGGTCTTGAGCGACCTCAAAAAATGTTTTTTATTCAAATATTTTTTTTAAATCCAGTGTTATTTTATTATACAAATTATGGGGGTATATTTTTCAAAAATGTTGTTTTTAGAACTACCCTTATATACATATATAGTATTGGCCAAAAAATTAAGGTCAGTCAGAAAAATTAACTAAAATTTTGCATTGTAAACTGTTTATTGAATAAATGCAACACAAAATGTAAAATAAATGAAAAAAATAGTTAAAAATAATCAAAATATTCAATAAAATAATAGTTATAGCACAGTTGCCAGATCTTAACCCAATCAAGAATTTGTGGGCTGACGTAATAGAGGTGGTTGCCCTGTTTTAATCAGCTTCTTTTAAAAACGACAGTAAAATCAACAAAAATCAATTAAAAGTTATTTTCCTCTTTGCAATGATAAAATTAAATTAAAATATTACAGGCAACCAAGATTTAAACAAGGAAAATATAATATAGGTAATAAAAATAAAAATATAAGATAATGAAATTAAAATGTTATAGATAATAAAAATATGAGATGATGAAATCAAAATATATTATAGGTAATAAGTGAAATGATAATGAAAATGAAAATTACAAAAATTGTGAGAGAGCTATTCGTTGCAGGTAGTGTAATTGAGTACCATTAGAGCAATGTTTTGAGATCAGTGTTTGAGTTTTGAGGTCATTGTTTAACTTCAGGGTTAGTGTTAGAGTTTAAGGTTAGTATTTGAACTTTGAGACCAGTCTTTGAGTTTTGAAGTCAGCGTTTGAGTAACTAATGTTGAACCTATATATTTTTATTATTATATAGTTAACATTTTATAAATGTTACCTATACAGTTACGAAAAATAAAAAAGCACCACTAAGCATATTTTCCTTTTTGCTAAGAAAACACCATGCAAAATAAATTTTTTTTATAGCTTTGCTGTTTAAAATATTAGTTAACATGTTTATTTTCTAAAACATCATTATGGGAAAAAAAGTTGTAAAGTACTCTGATAATGGTAAAAATGATTGTGAAAATAGCAAGAGTTGGTTTTCTTTTTGCTGTTTTATTCGTTTTATGTTAGTGCGTATTAGTAGGATAGATTTACATATAAAAATGAAGCACTGTGGAGTCATAAAAAAAAAAGTAACGACTCTGACTCTGACGCAAAATTTTTGAAAGATTCTTTAAATTCCTTAAAAAATATTACGCAATAAGATAAAAATAAATCTTTGAGGTTTAGTATGAACATAAGGTTAATTGCATGTTTTGTACATGCACGAACAATACCGAGAAGTTTTACTATCGGAGTCAAAATTTTGTTTAGCGACTCCGACTCCGCTAAAAATGTTGCAACTCCGCAACTACGACTCCACAGCCCTGGATTAAAGAATCAAAGTAACTTTAATCTAGGAAACCAGTTGCCTTGATTGAAATATAACAATGCATTGGCCATTTCTAATAACAGTACAATCAATTAGATCAAATTATGGTTAAAAGTACAGTAGGATTGACTATTTGTATCAAATCATATTTTCATAGTTAAACTATCTTTAAAAAATATTTATTTCTATAAACATTTAAGGATATTGTATGCTTCCATATAAATAAAAAATATATCTATATTTATCTCCATACTATATGCCAGTATTTAATAAATAGTAAAAATATATAAATATATAAAAATAAATTTACAATATATAATGTATTGAAAACTTTTCTCTTAGCCCCAGCTATCAATCCTTGATGAGCCTTATAATTTTGCCTGGACTTGATTTGTCCAATTTTATAAAGTCCAATTTTTAGCCAGGGCCGTGGTCACTTACTGCCTAACTCAAACTCTTATTTAATGAAGGGGCGCTTCTCGCATGATCAACCTATTTAGCCAGTCAATATATGTACTGCAACCCCCACAGCTATTTATTTCAGTATGACATCATCAGTGTGTATTTAATTTAACAAAAGAATATACTTATACACACACACACACACACACACACACACACACTCAGTCCTATAAAAAATTTTTACTTACAAATAAATATATACTTTCATCTAATTAATTAAGTTCCTTTCTTCAACCAAAAGTCAAATAAACTAATATTTTTAGATAAAATCACCTATAATTTATATATATATATATATATATATATATATATATATATATATATATATATATATATATATATATATATATATATATATATATATATATATATATATATATATATATATATATATTGGTCAAGAATGGCTTGCGATCGCACGCTATAACTTACCACGTTTATAATTTTTTTCTTTTAAATTTGACCACAGCTGTTTTGATGTTTTAACAATTTAAATACAATAAAATTGTTATGTTATGATTAAATTTTAATCATTGATCTTTTCTTAAAGGGATCCCTAAGTGCTATAAAGATATAATCTCATATGAAAGAGCATTAAAAAAAAAATGTTTTATGTATATTATTTTTTCTAAAACGTAATAATGAACACTAACAAATTTAATTTTCAAAAAAACTTTTCTTTGATTAAAAAAAATGCGCCTTGTCCAAAGACTCTATTTATTGACTCTAATGCCTCAAAAAACTAACGTTAGTACGTCAAATTAAACAAAGTAGACAAAATTTCATTATTGCAAACTTATTATTTGGTAATTAAATTTAAAAGTAAAGTCGTTTTTTTTCAACTAACACATAATTACTTACATGAATAAGTTTTGTAGCATTTTGTGAAAATATATTTGTATATTAAATTTTTTTTTATAATATTAATTTATATATTTGTGTTATAAGAGCAATTCCACGGCTAAAAATGAATAGAAGTCAAATTTTAAACTCTTTTTAGTCAGTTAAAAACAAATGAATATTGACTTAGACATATGAAAGTTTATCTAAAATATTGACTTAGTAAAAAAATAAATTTATTTCAGTAATTTTTATGGTTTCAAAAGTGACGGTTACTCTCATTTTTGCTTGATAAAAAAAATAATGATTGTAAAATGTTTTAGTTAAATTAACATTTATGTTAAATTGCTATATTTTTTTGGTTCAAATTGATAAGGTTGAAAAGACCTTTTATTAGAAATTAAACTAAGACAGGGCTCGAATTAACGCAAAAAAATCTAATTGCGAAAAAAATTTTTTTTTTTGCTTTCTCTCCCCCCCCCTTCTTTCTTATAGTTCGCGCCGATGTGCCGTAATGGGGGGGGAAAAATATTGTCAATAAATCAAAAAACATCGTCAAAAACTTAATAAAAAATTAGATATCACGTTTTTTATAATTTATTGTTTCTTTAATAAAGGACTAATAAAAGTTTAAATATAATTAAGTTTTTCATTTAAATAGTTGATGTTTTTATTTAATTTTTCTATTTCAAGTTTTCCAAGATAAAACAAAAAAATTTGGTTTAATAAATCGAATTATACTTCATGTTTAAAATAAGGCTTAAAAACGTTAAAGTAAAAAAATTGCTGGTTTTTATTAGCATTTTTATACTGTTTAAAAAAAACTAATAAAAAAGAATTAACTAATAATATATTAATAAATAATTATATATTATTTCTTTTTTATTAGTTTTTTTTTTCAAACAGTATAAAAATGCAAATAAAAGTCAGTAATTTTTTTGCTCTAACGTTTTTAAGCCTTATTTTAAACATGAAGTTTTGATAAACAAAGATAAAAACCAACTTTTCAACTTTTCGCTGTAAAAATTTTCCACGCAGAGATTTAAAGTAATTTAAATTAAAAAATGTTTTACGTTAAAAGAAAATCTCCGCGCGAAAGTGCAAATCATCTATACATCTATCTATTCAGAATAATAAATTCTGTTCTTTATGATAAAAAGATTACTTTTAAGAATTGCTAAAAAAAATGCTAAGCTAGAAAAAAAGTAATTAATCAACCAAAAAAAAAACGAGTCACGAAAAGATTTTTTTTAAGAAAAAACTAATCACAAAAGTGAGTGTAGCAATCGCGATCGCGATACGCTTAATACGAGCCCTGTAAGACTTTTTTGTAAGTTCTAAACTATTTAAAACTATTACTTATAACTTTTTTTTTAACGACGTCTTTCAACCAAATGCTATTATTCTGTTTTTGCAAAACTAATTAAAAAAACTTGATTAAAACTTAACTATTTAATCATGACTTTTTTTTACTTGAAAATCGAAGTAGATATGCTAAAGTTGTTGTGACGTACTAACGTGATTTTTAACGACTAACAATCGAGTTTCAATGGTGAAAAAATAAAATCAAAATGGAGTTGTTTTTTAGTGATTTCGGCAATTGCTTTTTGTTACCATGCATTTATTATTACAATTTAGTGAAAAAGAAAAAAAACTTACATATTTTTTTTTTATGCTCTTTCATATGAGATTATATGTTAGGAGCACTTAGGGATCCCTTTAAGGTTTTATTATAGGCGAAGGCTTTAAATAAAATAAACAATTTATTATAATGATTGTTTGAAACAAAGGTATTTTGCATAAATTAACAAAAAAATTTTATATATAATTTTTTTTATGTAGGTATCTATTTTTAATGATAAATTTAAACGTTTAAAACTATTTTCAATGTCTTTATGACAACCTTTTAAACGATTATTTTTGAAAGATTTTTTTTTGTTACATTAAATCATGAAAAAGTTAAAAACATTTTGTGACTAGTTGCTTAGAATGAGTTTAGAAACATTTTGTATAAATTATACTAGAGTATAAAATAACTTTATTTATTTGAATAAGCAAGGTGTTTTGTTGATTAATGTAAAAGTTTTGAAGTATTTTGTAATGTATTCATTTTATGATTTTTTTTAATCTTTTAAAAAAATATTTTATTTTTTAATGAATTTTTTTTGCAACTTTTTGGAAAAAATAAATGGTAAAAACTAATATTTAAAAACATTATATTAATATTGTATCAATTTATTTCAAATGCAATTAAAAATGTAACAAAAAGTAATTTCCATTTCAAGTTTAAGTTTTTTGAGTTTTATCTTAGTGCTTATATATTTTCTTTTTTGTTTTCTTTTTTCAAAAGTTATTTTTTTTTTTTCACTTTTTTTCCTTAGTTCTTCCATGGTTAAGTTTAGCTAAGCATTTCTTTTTTTAGAGCATGTTTAAATCACCAAAATATCTAAACAGTCATGGTCATAAATTTTGTTTTAAACTTTCATCACAAACTTTATCATCTCAACCCTTCGTCAAACTAACCACTCTTCTTTTCAAAAGGCTGCAAACTATACGTAAACAACCACATACTGGTAAATGACTTACCAACTGCCCACAAATGAAAAACACTACTCTTCTACTTTACTTTATCAGCATTGCGTTGACTTGATTCTCATGAGTTGATGGTTGATGGACCAGGTCAACTTGCCACCAACCTTGTACACACGTAATCCCAAAATACCAACCCCGTTACATCCAATCTGTTCACCTTCTTTATTCTCCAAATCATATTTTTCAAAATGTCTTTTGACATAATCAAGACTCACTACTTCCTTGTATCGTCCACGTAAGCGAATGCTCCTCCCTTCATCAATTTGTCTTGATCAATAATGACACTTACAACAGATTTCATGATCATTGGAGCAACATTCAATTCAAAACCAAACAAAACCTTTTGTTTTAAAAAACCACTGCTAGGAATGGTCAAAGAAATTCCTCAGTTTTTAATTGGAGATAAGCCTTGCGTAAATCAATAATTGCTGGTTTCTTTCCCATTCTTCTCCATTTCCTCGGCTTCTCAACACACACATCTGTGTCTTTTGTATACATTTCAATAAAACTATTAGCTTCTCTCCAGTCCAAAACAAGTCTGACTTTATTATCTTTACTTCATTGGACAACAGCCATTAAGGGAATTTGCCCTTTGGGTGGTTTCATCTTATTTTTGCCATATTCAATTAACCATTTACAACTGATCCAATCCCATAGTTCATTTTCATATTCTGCTCTTGCATATTTTGGTATGATGTATTAGGCAACTTTGTTAACTAACTGGTTGGGGCCTTCTCCATCTCTTCATTTTTATTTAACTTTCCATTCGACACCATTAAATATTACTTCATGATCTTGTTTTTTAATTTCAATTTTATTGACTTTATCTTTCTTTAAGACTGCTATTCCACACAAGCCGAACCCAAACTTTGCTATTCCAGACGGGGAAATAAAAACTCCTCCTAGCAATTTAATGGAACTCATTCCAAGCATCATATCAACTCCAAACGGTTGAAATTCCACTAAAAATAACTGTCTTGTACTTGGATACCATCAACCTCAATAGTAACAGCCGCTAATCTATTACATTGATGAAATTTACCATCAAAAGTGACTACCTATGGAGGATTCTGGGATTTATTTTGATTTCCTGACAACAGTTTTTGATATATAATTGTCTTTGAACAACCCGTGTCTACCATAGCTGTCGCTAATATACCATTAACTTTTAGATGAATAATAGACAATACACTAATTCCACCATTGTTCGGGAACGAGGTAGCGCACATCCCTCGCTCCTGCACTCGTTTCCCTGCTTCTTTAAGCATTTTGCAGCCACGTGTCCTTCATTCCCACATTTAAAACATCGAAAAATATTCTTCAGAGCAAGATTCTTTGCAAAGGGAAAATTTCTCACAATATGATTTAATCTTTTGCAGTTGTAACAAACCAACTTAACTTTTGTGGCTTGATTTCGAAAAACAGCACCAATAGCATCATCTACGCATATACGATTTAAAGCAGCTCTTACTTTAGGTAACATAACATCGATTGGATCCATAACAGATCAAAACCGTGATGATAAATCCTCGGGCAATGCAACAACAAACGCTAATCGAATAGACTCAATTTAGAGAGATAAGCCAATTGTCCTAAGTCGACCAAAAACACATCAACTTTCACTCCAATATTTAATTTTCGTTTAACAAAAAGTTTGTATGCCAGATAAGCATCTAAAGAGAATGCTGTTAACAAGACACGCTCAACTTCTTCTTCATCTTGCCATTTTCAGCGTTTAAACCATCATATACTAAATAAGCAGTTTCTCTTGGAAGAATTGAAAAGAGTAACTTCAGTTTTACATTTTGCATTTCTGCAATCACTTTAGTTCACTGTATTAAAACGGCAGCATCCAATGTTCCATCAAACGTTTTAAACATATCCAATAATTTGATATTTGAATCCATGCTCGATTAGCTTGTAATTTTCTTAGTCGAAATAAAACTTCTTTTACATCCAAATAACTTATTTTTCTTAACCTGAATTCAACCCATCTTACAAAAGCTTTACATTCATTTATATCAAATATCTACCCACAAAATCAACATTACAAAAACTGCTTAATACATAACTTCAATTAAAATAATTAAAAACTATTAGTAAAAGAAACCACTTAATTGCCGTAGAATGTTCTGCATTTTATTTTTATTTTATTATAGAAATTTTTATATCTACTTCTTAGCCTCTTTATATATACTTCTTACCTTCTATTTCTTTCATGTGACCTTTCCAAATATTGAAAAAAGATCTAAAGTTTCCAAGAAACCGTCTAAAATGCAACCATCTCTAAAAAGAAAGATCTTTCAAAAAACTTGATAAAAAATCCAAGAAAAAAAATTTAATAGTTTCAAGATAATAGTTTTGACTTATTTTTTAATTCTTTTTTTTATTCTTTATTTTTTAACTGGTTAAAACTTATTTTAAAAATATTAAGTTGTCAGAACTGTTTACAAATATGAACCATCGAACTATGATCATATAATCCATCAAACTATGATCATATGAACCATGATCAACATTTCATCGTGATAACACAATTTAATATTAAAATTTAAATTTGATATTATGAATGAGGAAATCAACGGATCATTTTTTTTAATCTTAAAATAGTTTCGATTTTAATAATTTTCATTTTAAATTCAAAAACCTTTTTACAGATTTTAAAATGCAGCTAAATAACTAAATAGCTACAACTAGCACTAGACTAAGAAGTAGGTAAGAAGTATGCAAGTAGGTATGAAGTAGCTATAAAAAGACTGGTTATTAAATAAAAAACACCAACAAAATGGAAACAATATTAAAAAAGATAATATGAAGTGAAAAACCAAATTTAAGAATTATCATAAGTAATTAAACTTCAGAAATAAAAAGGTAAAGTAAATAAGGGTAGAATGCAAGAAGCAAATTTTAGTGAAGTTCGACTTGAACTTTGAAGTTTGATTTTGTCAAGTTAGACTTAAGTTAGAAAAAAAGCTTGAGCAAATAAGTAAACGAAACTTGAAAATTTCAAGATTGCGTTTGAAAAAGTCAAACTTGAAAAATTTCAAAAGCATCAATTTAAAGGTGGAATTGGAAAAAAAAAAACTTTGCAACCAGTAGCGGCAGAGTATTTAAAAAGGGAAAATCTTTTATATAAAGCAAATTAACTATATATTTTTAACAATATTTCTGAGTTTTATATATTAAAATATTAATTTACAAAAAAAAATGAAAAGATGTTACAAAAATAACAATTTTAACTTTTGTTATTTATTTTTATTAAAACTTGGTAATTTAATAAAAAAAACTGGATTTAAATGAACGTGCTCATGTTACCTTCTATTTAGTCCAAGGCTCTAACTACAATGTAACATTCAAATCTATATAACATTTTTACCACATATTCACAAAATTATAATGGCGATTGGTTTATTTGTTTCAAGTTTGCTTTCAAGGCTGGTTTTACCAAACTTCAAAAAACAACTTGAAATCTGATTTTTCAAGTATTACTTCAAATTTCAGGTTTGCTTCTTGCATTCCAATTCCTACATAAGTATAAACTCAGATTGAGAATGTAAAAAAAAGTCTAATAAATTTGAAAAAATCTTTGAATTTACATAGAAAAATACTTTTATTTTCAATTTATATTTTTGTGTAAATTAAACAGTTATATTTATCAAACTAAACTCTAGACCACACTGCTTCTTGCAAAAACTGTACTCGTATCTGAGATGAATATTCACAGAAAATTTTATTTATAAAATATACCACCATTACCAATGATATTATTAATTCAGCTTTATTTTTAATAAACAATAATTTAAAACCAACAAAACTTTAACATACTATTGCATTATTTAACTTGAAATGTTGCCATCGACTAAGATGTGTTGTTTGTTGAATTGATTGCAACCTGGTTCTAAAGTAAAAAAACATGTAATTTATAATTTACAATAGAACATTATGCAAGTTATTCTATTATTTTTGTAATTCAAAAAACTATCTAACCAAACAATTTTATCAAATGACTTAGTTATCCAATTATTTAGCATCAGTTTTTTATAAAACTTGTTAGGACAAAGGTTAATCAAAACATATAAAAGTTTAAATAAGCCACATTATTTTTATATTTAATGTCTCCAACAAAACAACTTTTTCAAAAGATAAATGTATGGATAATGAATATAATAGATAAAAAGACCCTCAAACAATAAGATGAATCAGTCAATGATATATTAATACAGCTTTTTTTGATATAAATTCAAATTAATTATAAGCAATATACAGTCCCTGATCAAATTATTAGCCTACATTATAAACTTTTTAGAACTTCAATTATTTAATAATAAAGTGGAATTTAAATCAGTTTGCAATGTCTTAATTTACTGATTTATGTTTTTTGGTTTATAACTAAACACTTTTAAACTATTAGCAATAATAGTTTAAAAGTGATTATTTCTGTTTATTTCGTGATATTTGTGCTTTATCATTTGTGCTGTTTTACTATGTTTTCTTTAAGTGCAGTAGGGTGGTCCTTAAAACAAATGTCTGCTCTCACCCTCTAAATGTGTTCTATATAATAAAATAATACTGGAACTAAAAATTTTTTTAAAAAAATTTTTCGGGGTAGCTTAAATTTTTAGGGGTACCTTTAAACATCAGACCGGTCCCTATAATTATCAAAACAAAATTTTTTTTTTGTAAAAATGCATATTTTAATTTTATAGTTTAAAAATCTCTTTTTCTAGGCAGTAAAATCTAAAATAATAATTTTGTATAAAATGATGGTTATATTTAAAGTTTTTATATAATTTCGCTTCTTTTGAGATCCAACATAATACATTTTTGAAGAAATATTTTTTTGATAATTTTAGGGACCAGACTGATGTTTGAGCAACTTGAGCTACCCCTAAACATTTTTTTTTTTTAATTTTTAATTCTAGTATTGTTTTATTATATAGAACACATTGAAAGGGTGAGAGCATTTATTACATCCAGCAATAACCAGCAAGTTGAATGAGGTGGGACTAAATGTAGCAATAATCAAAATTCAACTGTTGGGCCTCAGAAGCAGAAGGCTAGAACAAAAACCGAAAATAACCAAACCTCAGAGAAAAAAGGGCCTGGATTGGGCAAAGAAGTAAAGTAGTTTCGCTGTTAACAACTGGAAATTGGCAAAGTCGTTACTACACACAAAAATAAATAAAAATTTCTAATATTTCGATGTTTGTATTTAGTGTTTGTATTTAGAGAGTTTTTATTCTGTTTTCACCAGGTATGCTTCACCAATGAGTCTACCATAGAAATTATTTTTAAAGGGCTCAATATGTAAAAAGGCTTCAAATAATCAAGACAAATAAACATCCTCCTTAAGTCATGTTTTGTTGGGTTATTAATGGAAAAGGCCTTGCTCAACTGTACATTGTGGACGGAATATTAAAAAAGGACAGATACAAGAAAGTGATTGAAACCCCTCTTTTAGCTCAATTGAAGTACAAATAAGCAAAAGAAAATATTTATGCAAGATTTATGCAAAATGGAACAAGTCATGTCACGCTGCAAAATCCATTAAAAAATTATTGGCGTCTCTAAAAATTTCACTTTTGGATTGGCCAAGGAACTCTTCAGATCTAAATCCCATAGAAAATGTATGGAAACTATTACTAAGAAAGAAATTCTAGAAAAGGTCACAAATAGAATCCAATTGATTGAAAAAGTTATTAGATAATGGAAGCATAATGCACATTTGAAATAAATGGATTTAAATTGTATTTACAGCATGCCAAATAGTCTTAATGCAGGGAGGATCAACAGAATATTAAAAATAAAGGAGGATCAACAAAATATTAAAAATAACAGAGGATCAATAATATATTAAAAACAAGAGAGGATCAACAAAATAGTAAAAAGTAAGGGAGGACTAACAAAATATTAAATATGTTAATGTCAACAAAATATTTAAAATAAAGGAGGATCAACAAAATTACCTTAAATCGATTTTTATTGTTCTAAGAAAAAGGCATTTAAAGCTTTTAATTTATCACTGTGTTTGATCGTCTTAATTAAATCAAATTGTTTATAAAATACTTCTAGAATATGTTATTATTTTTTATAATATAACAAATAAAAAAGAAAAATTTAAGTTTATGAGAAGCAACAATGCAAATGGACTTAGGATAATTTTAAAACTATATAAAACATGACAAAGATCTACAAATTAAATTGCTGCTGCAAAACAAGACCATCTTTAGTCCGTTTTGGCCGTTCTGAGAAAAAGTTTTTTTTTTTTCTTTTTTTTTTAAATTTAAATTTAATCACTGCTTTTGATTTTTTTGATTAAATTTACTTGTTTTTAGTTATTAGTTATGTATTATAAGTATTTTAAATCAAAAAAGTTTTTTTTGCCAAATAACGGACTTAGGATAGTTTTGTTTTGCAGCAACAATGTCTCTATATAATTTTTTTTTGAACATAAGATATTTGAATTTTACTCATAGTATCAAAAATTGAATCAAATTTCGGTTCCATACTTTGTGAGATTTTTGTGCACCTAAGGATTTTAACTAAAAAAGTCAATTTTGCCGAAAATGGACTTGAGATAGTTAGCTTTGCAGCAACTTTTATTGTTATTTTGTTTTTCTTATGTAAGAAAATAGATATACTTTATTTATATATAAAGTTTTTATCCCTATTTAAAAAAAATTTTTTTTAATGTTTTACCTCTATGAAAAAATATCAACATGGGCTAATAACTTGATTAGGGACTGTATACTTATAATTTATTGTTTTTTAACTACTTATACATTGCTTATTGAGATTCTTCACAACGTCTTCGCAAATGGCGGTCGCGTCAAAAGTCACCAATAAATCATAATCAAGCTCTTATGAATTAATTTAAAACAAGCAGTTAAATCAAGAGAAAAAATTCACAAAAATATAAACAGAATTTCGAACTAAAAAAAAAAAAGAACTTTTACGTAAAACATTAAAATAACAAAAAAAAAAAAAAAAAAAGAAAGAAAGAAAGAAAAAAGTTAACAAATAAAAAGAAACAAATAAAGGAAAAATAAAGAAAATTACAAACGAAGAATAAGAAGATTGGTTGTTTTATACTTATTTTTTAACGATTTAATTTGTAATATTTAAGTTTGTAACGATTTAATTTTATTTTATTTTGTAGAAGTATTTGTGTTTGCCTTTTCGCTTTGTATTTTTTAGGTTTCATCTTGTGGTTTTTGTATTTTGCCTTTTTGTTTGTATAAGGTTTGTTTTTTATTTGTTCTGTTTTGCTAAATATTTTTATTTTTGTTTGCTGTTGTTATTGAGCGTTTTCATTTTTTTTGTCTTATTATTTAACTTATTTTAGATTTATGGTTGTTATTACTATTTTATTTATTTTCCTAGCGATTTTCGGTTCATATTTGTTATTTTATTATTATTTTATTATTATACTACTTATTATAATTAATTAGTGTCACTTATTTTGATCATGGGTGAAACTCATGTCATCATATTATTTGTATTATTATAGATATTATTATTTTTAATTATTATTGTTATAATTATTTGGTGTCACTTCTTTGATCAGGCTTTTGTTTGAGTGACACCTTCCTTTTCTAACAATTATTTATATTTATTCTTATTAGTTATATTTTATTATAAATATATTGTTTGTATTATTATAGATAATATTATAATTATTATTATTATTATTATTATTATTATTATTATTATTATTATTATTATTATTATTATTATTATTATTATTATTATTGTTATTATATGATTATATGTAAATTTTAAAAAGTAAAATAAATATCTTGTGTTGTTGTTGTTGTTGTTATTAACTAAGTATATTAATTTTATATTTTTTAAAATATATTAATTTTATATTTTTAAAAATATATTAATTTTATATTTTTATAATTTAACAAAAAAGTAAAGGTTATAGTTACTCTTTATATCTTGACATTAGATATATTAGATTTAGAATTTTTAAATATTGACATTATTGCAGGTTTTCAAACTTTTTGTTTGTATATGCACACATGAAACATAAAAGACACATAAAAGTTTTTTTTAAATATACCTTAAGTACTAAAATTAATTTATTTAAGTCATTTTTATGCATCCGAAAGTTATGGTTTTTCTCATTGTTGCTTAATAAAAAAAGTATCATTGTAAAATTTTATTTTAACCATGAATTTATATGCATAATCAGAATTATTTTAGTGTGAAAATGGAGCTAACATGTTCAAATTGTTGTTGGTCAAATTTTATACTTTATAAAATATATATATTTCATGAAAATAACGAAAGAACTTTTGCAATTTTCATGTAAGTTAACGAAAAACATGAGTTTTGTTTTATTTTTCGAAAATTTAGTTTAAAACCTAAGTTTTTTAATAATATATACGAAAGAATATTAAACGTTACGTTTTTACATATAAAGTTTTGAATAATAATGCTTAGTTAAAGAACATTTTTATTTTAAATTTCTGTAACCTAAGTTAAAACTACATCCATTTACTAAAGTTCTGGCACTTTTTCATTATCAAAATAAATTATGTCATTAAAAAATTCGCATTGGCTTCACAAGGTTCTAACTGAAACTTCTCATATTAGGAGAATTTAGAAAAAAAATCTTTTATTTATTTTTAATGGTTATTAAAACTATGTATATAATCATTTTATTATTTGTTTATGTATTCTTGTTTTGGTTGACATAAATATACATAAATAAATAAAAATAAGAACTATATAAATATTTTTATTTAGAAATCAAAAAAAAAAAAAAGATTTATTTGCTATTTTCCTAATAATACAAAAAACTCAGTTAAAACCTTTTTTATTTTTGTTTTAGTGAAACAAATTGTTTGTAAATGCAATTAAGGGGGGTCAACCATAAAGTACCTTCCC